GTACCGGAAGTAAGTTGGGCCCCGTCTCGCATATCGCAAGCTTACGCGCGCACAGGGAGCTGGGAACCAGCTTAGTACCGGAAGTAGCACCTCGCGAGACTTACAGGCCCTATATGGCAGTATGGTTATTAAAAAATGAAAAATGGTGCAGTTTTAAATTCTGAAATTGTTCAACCGTTGAAGAGTTCTTACCACCTGAAAAATGTGAGTCGAAAAAGAGTAACAGGAGAGCGGGGGTAATTTGGCACAAAAGACCAAACAAGCTATGTTTTTTCCTTGGCAGGGTACATTAGTGGATGGTGGCTTGGTTCACTCTCACTTGGCCAGAGTCTAATCAAAAAGGTCTTGTTAAGACAACATTGCACTATGGCTAGGTGAGAGATGCGAGCCATGTAATTAGCATCAGCCACTGAAGCGTGAGCCTTTGTTCAAGGGCTATAGTCTATATCTACAATGCGACACGATTTAAGAAGTATGCAAGTGTGTGTGCGTTTGTTTGTAATATGAAAATTCGGTTTAAACCTATTTATTTCTGATATGTTGTTCAGAAACTGGATCGGCCAACAAGCAAAAACCTTATATTAATGCCTCTCCAGACAAAATAACATTTATGCGACTTGCATTTCATAATCTTATTACAAAAGTACATGATATCATAAATAACATTAAGCATGCAAAATATCATATCAATGTATCTCAATTAAATACAAATGTCACTAATGTCACCAGTTGAGCATTTCCTCAAATCCTCCAAAACATTCAAATAATACCATATCAATGTACATGTATGTCACTTTAAAACAAATGTCACTAATCTCACTAATTGAGCATTTTGTTGATACAGACTATGGCTCATTTGACAGAATCTGGCTAAGTGAGCGGATACCAGTGGCTTGAGTACCGCCACGTCAAATATATCCATAAGTCGCCCCAGATTCCAACTGGCATGAGAAAGTGTTGTTTTTAAAAAGTCATCTGCACTCCTTAAAACTCCGTAGAAAGAGGTATATATAGCATGTTCCAGCAACGTACCACGAATTCCTGTCTCAATGATTTACGACAATATTGAATGCAATCAACAAAGGGCCTTCGTTATATTTACAAAACATGTTTCAGGCAATTGTTAATGCATGTCATTGTCAAGACATTCTCAAGACATTTTCTCCCTCAGGAAAGAATCAAGGTCAACTCCGTGGAACAATTGAATCAACGCCACTCTTTGAAACAAATTTAAGGGCAAACTGCCTTCCTTGATCCAGAGAGCATTTGTCACAACACGGAGGGACCATTCATATACTTCAAAGATTCAGGACAATTTTCAAAAATGAAAGCAAATGTTATGTGAATAAAACAATGTGTAAAGAGCTGGACTTTCTTTCAGACACGAAGTTCGTCAAATTTGGGGAACAGGAGATTCAGACAAGATGGCTTCCCCTGTGGTATCCCCAACTCTACTCCCGAACTTTGTTGGTTCAATTAATGATCTCATAACCACTTCCCTTTCACAGATTTACCCACCTGCGCTTTAAATGAAGCAAGTGAAACCTCCTCATCTGTCCCATATTAAGATCTATACAGTGAACAAATATGTCAGCATATTTGTATTACAAGATTGTTGGTGTATATGGGGGGAGGGGTTGTTTTCTTTTTTTTGTTTTTTTGTTGTTGTTGTTTTGCTTTTGTTTTTTGTTTCTTGCTGGGTTTTGGGGTTTTTGTGTTTCTTTTTTGTTGTTTTATTTGGTTCTTTTGTTTTGGGGCTTTTTTGTTTTGGGGGGGGTGGGTGGGTGTGGGTTTTGGTGGGGATGTTTGTTTTGTTTTGTTTTTTGTTTGTTTGTATATTGTTTTTGGTGTGGTTGTTTTGTTTTTGTTCGCTTAGATTGGGGGCGTGAAGCCCATGAAGCCCTCTCTCTCTCTCTCTCTCTCTCTCTCTCTCTCTCTCTCTCTCTCTCTCTCTCTCTCTCTCTCTCTCTCTCTCTCTCTCTCTCTCTCTCTCTCTCTCTCTCTCTCTCTCTCTCTCTCTCAGCAAACTAACGACGGACAGAGTGTCTCATAGGGAGGATACATAACTTGTGAGAATCCCAAAGCTTCAATCAGATAAAATCAAAATGGACAACGGCTGATCACTGACATCCTAGACAGGGTTGTTGTACCACATTTCGATGACCATCCTGTGAACGCAAGGCTAGACCTCACATCGTGCACGTGTTGTTGGTGACTGTTTACGTCAAGAGGCAGAAACAACTCTACATTGGCCCGTTAGGAGTCCAACATCTTTTGGACATAATGGGCCGCAGAATACGCCAGAGACATCCTCCAGTTGGACATTTATCGTCTGATGTAGTCAATGAGAAGGGTTGCTCTCGCATATTGATGATTGTGTGATTTCTTGTATGCTAAGACTATATTACAAGCTGTAATGAAAACACAAATAATGGCCAGTTTCTTTCCGAGTAGGCAATGCTAGTTCACACTAATTCCAGTCCCGCACCAATGTCAACATCTGCGTTAACACTCAACATAAATCCTTCTGTAAAAAAGAGAGCAATACAGATAGAAACTGACAGTTAAGCCCTCTACAAGCTGCAGTAAACCCTCCACCAGATCCAATAAACCCCAACAAATTCCAGTAAATCTCCACCTGCTCCGGTAAATCTAGTTCTAGAACAAAAAACCTCCATGAACCCCTTCACCTGCTCCAGTAAACCCTCCACCTGATCGACTAAATCCTCCACCTCTCAGAAAACCCTCCACCTGCCCCAGCCAATACATCCCTAATGCGACTGGTTTGCCACAACCACCCCAGTTTTCCACCAGTTCCACCTCCTAGAGAACCCTCCACCTGCCCCAGCCAATACATCCCTAATGCGACTGGTTAACCACAATCACCCCAGTTTTCCACCAGTTCCACCTCCTAGAGAACCCTCCACCTGCCCCAGCCAATACATCCCTAATGCGACTGGTTAACCACAATCACCCCAGTTTTCCACCAGCTCCACCTCCTAGAGAACCCTCCACCTGCCCCAGCCAATACATCCCTAATGACTGGTTAACCACAATCACCTCAGTTTTCCACCAGTTCCACCTCCCAGAGAACCCTCCACCTGCCCCAGCCAATACATCCCTAATGCGACTGGTTAACCACAGCCACCCCAGTTTTCCACCAGCTCCACCTCCTAGAGAACCCTCCACCTGCCCCAGCCAATACATCCCTAATGCGACTGATTAACCACAGCCACCCAGTTTTCCACCAGCTCCACCTCCCAGAGAACCCTCCACCTGCCCCAGCCAATACATCCCTAATGCGACTGGTTAACCACAACCACCCCAGTTTTCCACCAGTTCCACCTCCTAGAGAACCCTCCACCTGCCCCAGCCAATACATCCCTATTACGACTGGTTAACCACAATCACCTCAGTTTTCCACCAGCACCACCTCCTAGAGGACCCTCCACCTGCCCCAGAGAGAACCTCCACCTGCCCCAGCCAATACATCCCTAATGCGACTGGTTAACCACAACCACCCCAGTTTTCCACCAGTTCCACCTCCTAGAGAACCCTCCACCTGCCCCAGCCAATACATCCCTAATGCGACTGGTTAACCACAATCACCCCAGTTTTCCACCAGCTCCACCTCCTAGAGAACCCTCCACCTGCCCCAGCCAATACATCCCTAATGCGACTGATTAACCACAGCCACCCAGTTTTCCACCAGCTCCACCTCCCAGAGAACCCTCCATCTGCACCAGCCAATACATCCCTAATGCGACTGGTTAACCATAACCACCCCAGTTTTCCACCAGCTCCAGCTAACTGCCCATTAGCTCAAGAAATAACTCTCCAGCAGATGAAGCCAACCCTCCACCTACTCCAGTCAAGAGATCTCTACCGCCACCAGGACACCAGAACTTGGACAACCGTGTACAAGCTCGGGTCATTCCACTTCCACTGCCTCAGTTGATAAGGTCTCTTTGCCTGAATCTACAGATGTGGCATCACCAGCACCAGCACTTCCAGTTATAAGACTTGTATCTCCAGTTCCATGCCACGAAGCTGGCAGGAGAACTGGGTTTAAGTACAAGCGAAGAGGTGACTACTGTTGTTACAGCATCAACGCTTAAGGAGCTGATTCAGGATGGAAAGCTCTAACAGATGAAGTTAAAAACCAAAGAATTCTACCCCAAAATCTGATTCTGAACCAAAATTGTAACGAAATAAATAGCAAAATTTCCAGTTTAGCTTGGTTCCTTCAAACAGTGATAGGTGACAACCAAATGTACATTCCTAAGACTTTCAGTTATGCATTGCATTAGTATAACAATATTCTACATATACACAATAACTAATATTTCGTCCAGGCAGACCCGTGAAGATAAGGGTTAGAATTGGTCTTCAGTAACCCAAGCTTGTCGTAAGAGGCGACTAACGGGATCGGGTGGTCAGGCTCGCTGACATGGTTTACTCATGTCATCGTATCCCAGTTGCGTAGATCGATGCTCATGCTGTTGATCACTGGATTGTCTGGTCCAGACTCGATTATTTACAGACAGCCGCCATATAACTGGAATATTGCTGAGTTCTTCATAAATCTAAACTCATTCATCCAGGAACTTGCTCTGCCTTAACATGTCATATGCAAGCATGTGTATAAATATTGTTAAGAGATCGACATTGTTACATTGTCTCCATATGCTGGAGAAAAACTGGTACCGATCTCATTTTTTCTGGCTTTCTATTATTATTAATAATTATTGTTCAAATTATAGGGAAATGAAAGCGGTGGGACAAAGTTAGTTAGGCTGGTAGAGATGGATCAAGGCGTGTTCAGTTCTCCGTTGATATTTTGTTGATTTTGAATTTATAAAATTTAACTGAAACATTATTATGGGCGTTAATTATGTGTTAATCATCAGTGGCGGATCCAATCACACCGACAGTCATTTTGGAGACATGGTTTGGTCAAAGGGAAACAACTCTAAATGACTGTCGTTTACCGCCAGGCGTCGGGTGATCCTCGGAAGTCCTCGAAAGTTGAAAACAAGTCGACGTGACAGCGTGAGCGACAGATCCACCGCAACCAACAATCAAATCTGTTTGTTAGCCCTTTGATTGGTCAAGATGGGCATGATAATTGGGAAATTTAGAGTAAGTTATGGCAACCTCATCACTAGATACGACCCACAAGGGTATGACTCACTTCATCACCGTATGTCAAAAGCGCACTTTTCAACATTTTCAGACCCAGATGTTTGTTGGAACGAAAGTGAAATATGCCTTATTGTCAGGCAAGTGTTAGGAAGTGATGCTGTTGGGTTTATCACGTTCACAGGCTGAGTGAGACTTTTGATTGACATCATTATCAGTTTAGTCTGTTATTATACCAAAACAGTCAACACTTTCACAATCATCTTCAGATGTTCCAACCAAAGCAGTGTGCATATTAGCCTTAGTTCTTATTTGGAAATGACTGGTGTATTTTTAAACATCTGTGCTCATTTAAACACTTCTTAAAGATTTGTGCATAGTTGTGATTTTCATTTCTTTGATTATGATATAAACCTGTACTTCATTTCTTAGCTAAACAGGGGCACATCCCACTGCATCTCAGTATTATCTAAAAATGATGATAATTTTATGGATATGCAACTGCTTCATTCTTTCACAGAATAAAGAAGTTGTATGTCCATAAAATTATCATCATTCATCATCACCTCAACTTCTAAAATGCCCGACCCGTGAAGATCCGGAGTAGAATAAGTCTTCAGCAACCCATGCTTGCAACAAAAGGCAACGATGCTTGTCGTAAGAGGCGACTAACGGGATCGGGTGGTCCGGCTCGCTGACTTGATTGACACATGTCATCGGTTCCCAATTATGCAGATCGATGCTCATGCTGTTGATCACCGGATTGTCTGGTCCAGACTCGATTATTTACAGACCGCCACCATATAGCTGGAATATTGCTGAGTGCGGCGTAAAACTAAACTCACTCACTCACTCTAAAATGCCCATCAAAGCAGTATTATCTGGACGCTAGTTTGGGAGGGTATGGGTTTTCGGAGGCAAGAAACATTTATTGTTTTCATGCTGATAACTTAAAACATCTCACTCACTTGTAAAATACACCTGGTTAAAAACTCAAACCATCATCCAAACATATACTGTGTGCCTTTGATCACACACCTCTTATTATCTGATTATAGTGCCAGGAATCCTAATGGATACGTCCATCTGGAAATTTATGATGTATAATCACACTATAATTGTTCATGTAACATGTAAATGCATGGATACAAACTGGTATAAAAATGAAATTAATATGGTTCTTAATATTGTTCAAAACTTTTTGCCCACAACTATCATCATGTTTTCAAGCCTTGTGGTTTATGAGCTTCATGACACTGTCATCTTTGTTTTATTTTTTGCAGAAAACGAAGACAACTGTGGAAATACTTGAAGGCATTGACAAGGTAGGTTAAATGTTTCATTTTCAATGTCCTTTCTACCCTTACCTTAATTTTCCATAGTATCCTCACAAATACAGTTTGCTTTTTGTTGTAGAGATTTTAAAATGTATCATACATCAAATGTAACTTATATTCTGGTGCTGTAGTGACAGGGTGATCAGTATTGTTTCCTGAGACAAGGCTCACTATATTGTACATTGATTAACAATCCATCCATTATGATACACAAGATGCATTACTACTGATGTTTCAGTATAAATCTTGTGAATAATAATAGCTTTAGAATGCTCATTACATTACCCATGAAGGTCTGGGTTAGAATATTGATCTTCAGTAACCCATGATTGTCGTAAGAGGCGACTAACAGGATCGGATGGTCAGGCTCGCTGACTTGGTTAACACATGTCATCGGTTCCCAATTGCGTAGATCGTTGCTCATGCTCTTCATCACTGGATTGTCTGGTCCAGACTCGATTATTTACACACCACCGCCATAAAGCTGGAATATTGCTGAGTGCGGCGTAGAGTAAACTGTTTCCACAGTAAGTAAAAGGTCATTGAAATGAATATCTGGTAGTGAGAATTTCCTTGTTGTCAGTCCTAGCCGGCATCAGTGAACTTGTTTCAAATGTCTGCTTCAGTAGCCTGTCAGATTACACCAGAATGCCATCATCTGTTGCTACTTTGTTGACTCAGCTGTTTTGTTCAAAAATTTTTGCCCACAACTATCATCATGTTTTCAAGCCTTGTGGTTTATGAGCTTCATGACACTGTCATCTTTGTTTTATTTTATTGCAGAAAACGAAGACAACTGTTGAAATCCTTGAGGGCATTGACAAGGTAGGTTAAATGTTTCATTTTCATCGTCCTATCTACCCTTACCTTAATTGTCCATAATATCCTCACAAATACAGTTTGCTTTTTGTTGTAGAGATTTTAAAATGTATCGTACATCAAATGTAACTTATGTTCTGGTGCTGTAGTGACAGGGTGATCAGTATTGTTTCCTGAGACAAGGCTCACTATATTGTACATTGATTAACAATCCATCCATTTTGATACACGAGATGCATCACTAAATGTTTTAGTATAAATCTTGTGAATAATAATAGCTTTAGAATGCTCATTACACAACGACCCGTGAAGGTCCGGGTTAGAATATTGATCTTCAGTAATCCATGCTTGTCGTAAGAGGCGACTAACAGGATCGGATGGTCAGGCTCGCAGACTTCGTTAACACATATCATCGGTTCCCAATTGCTCATCGTTGGTCATGTTCTTCATCACTGGATTGTCTGGTCCAGACTCAATTATTTACAGACCGCCGCCATAAAGCTGGAATATTGCTGAGTGCGGCGTAAAACTAAACTCACTCACTCACTACACAACACATGGGGGTAGAGTAAAGTCTTTCCACAGTAAGTAAAAGGAAATTGAAATAAATATCTGGTAGTGAGAATTTCCTTATTGTCAGTCCTAGCCGGCATCAGTGAACTTGTTTCAAATGTCTGCTTCAGTAAACTGTCAGATTACACCAGACTGCCATCATCTGTTGCTACTTTGTTGACTCAGCTGTTTATCTAATGACTGCAACTGTCAGTACAATTCACATTCTTCACCTCAGCAAGTGAATAACTTTGGAAGATTTTATCTTTTTTCACAATTTGTTTGCTTGTTAGGGTTATTTGTTACATTATTGACATAGGATGATAAGATAGAGGCAGTGCAAGTTTAGCACCCTCTATATTTGTGTGCATAATGATTCTATGCTGTGTAGTTGTGGAATGTAGCTGCACCCCCACCCTCTCCTCCCAATGGTAAAGCCTGATCTGACCTGACCTAGCTAATTTACAACTGAAGTGCACACACTTATCTTTATCCCTTCTTGTGATGCCTAGTACATCAGGAATTGACCTGAGAAAATCATCATGACTGTGATACTTTGTGGCATGTTTGACATTCATCAGCCAATATGGGGCAGTGGGGTAGCCCAGTGGTTAAAGTGTTCGCTCATCACGCCAATGACTTATGTTCGATTCCACAAATGGATACAATGCATGAAGCCCATATCTCTCTCTCTCCCCTTTCCTCTACCTCTCTCTCCCTCTTCTTCTTCATCTCCCTTCCTCTCCCTCTCTTCCTCTTCCTATCCCTCTTCCTCTCTCGCTCTCCCTCCCTCTTCTTCTCTCCCTCTTCCTCTCCTTCTCTTCCCCCTTCCACTTCCTCTCTCCTCTTCCTCTCCCTCTTCCTCTCCCCTCTCTCTCTCTGTCTGGCAGGCGGGGGTAGCCTATGGTGCTGCTGACTCATCACGCCAGGACCCAGGTTAAATCCCCACATGGGCTACAATGTGTTAAGCCCATTTCTGGTGTCCCCGCCGCTTGATGTATTGCTGGAATATTGCTAAAAGCGTGAAACTAAACCAGTCAAGTCTCAGTCCATCTCCTCTCTCTCTCTCTCTCTCCTCTCCCTCTTCCTCTTCCTCTCAAGTTTTTCAGCCTGTTCAGGGCTTTTCCACATTTTTGGCAGTGCATTTAACATATTTAATGATCAATAAACATCTGATATGAGTTGACTGTTTCAATGTATTTGAGAGATCAGATGTGTGTTAAGGTTGACAAAATATGCTGGATGGGTCTTGAATCTTTGTCAATTTATTTCCTCAACAGGACATCACCAAGCTCCAGCGGTTTCGGCGACACAACCAGGAACTGCAGAAGAAGTTCATCGCCAGTCTGATCCTATACTCAATAGTCCTGTACATCATCTGTGCTATTGTGTTCTACTTCTGGTACTTCCCCGACACATGGAAGGAGCGCTTTATCTACTCGCTGCCTTTGCTAGCCTTCCCTTTCATGTGAGTAACACCTGGTGTCATAGGTGTTTGTTGTGTAAAGCCACACTCAGCATTATTCCAGCCATATGACTGCAGTCTGTAAATAATTCAGTCTGGACCAGACTGTCCAGTGATTGACACAATGAGCATCAGACTACGTTGTCACCAAATTTCCAAGTTTGATTCCCCCAATGCTGTTATTATTTCTAATGACATGCATTGGTTGCAGAACATCAGTGCTAACACAGTTCTTCACAGGTAGACACCTCAGTCAAAGCTCTGTGTTAGAATAGGTCTCCAGAGGTGGCCAAATGAATTTGGTGGTAGATGACTTGATGGATGGCTCGTCATTACCCCGACCATTTCTCGTGTCCCCAGTCATGTTATTGCTGGAATATTGCTAAAAGCAGTGTAAAACCATACTCATTCACTCAATAGTGTGTTTATCATTGCTTACAGGTTGGTGACCTATTTAGTTATCTAGAGCCTCGATGGTCTTCAAGTTTGTACAGATAAATATTGACAACTTTGGGTTGAACACATTTGTATGTTTCTAAAACTACTTTGTTAAGTAATTTTATGTTTACAATCTCCATGTATTAAGAACAGGGGTGGAAATAACTTTAAAATTGATAGTGTACATCACTTGCCTGATCATTTTTCCACTATACCAGCTGTTTTCTTGTTGATTTTTTTAATAAACAACATTATTAACATTGGAAAGTCAACTGGACACCGGTACAGCGTGATATACAAATTTGCTTGCCCGACAGAAAAAAACACTTGACTCGGGCGTCGGGCAATGGGTTATTTCCACCCCTGAGAATGGTTGGTTGTTTGGTTTGTTGTTTCATGTTGCATTCAGCAATAGTCCAGCTACATGGTTACGGTCTGTAAATAATTGTGTCTTGACAAGACAATCCAATAATCAACAGCATGAGCATCAACCAACGTCAGCAAGCCTGACCACCCAATCCAATTAGTCGCCTCTTGAGACAAGCGTGTGTTGCTGAAGACCATTCTAACCAGGATCTGATTACCCTTGTGTGTGTTCATGTTTTAAGTAATAATTATACGACATATTGGGACTAACAAATATGTGTTTTACTAGGGCTGCGCAATATAACCGATTTACCAGTATTTACCGGTTCAGTCATGAAATTGATACGTATTGCGATACCCGGATCGAAAACCGGTTTTTCGACATGCATTAGGAAAACTTCATAACACTCGGAACTCTTCGGATATTTCCGTTTTTCACACCGAAAATTAAGTTAAATTCGGTTTGAAGTTGTGTTCTTAATTTTTGTTCAAGTGTTTCGCAAAGTTTTTTATCTGAATGTTATATATATATTTGCTCATTAATGACCAGTGATCCCTGATATGTCCTGACCAGGTCAAGTTGCTGTCTCGAGGCTTTTTTGATAGTGGAGAAACTAGTTCAAACTAGTAACCACTGTGTTGATGTTTTCCTTGTTTCCTTCATTTTAACATGATTAAAAGTTTTTATTAAAGCCTGATCAGGCATTGTGATTTTGCTTTATAAATCAAGCATTAACTCAATTATAAGTAATTTTTGGTGAAAAAAATATTCTTGCAATATATTGCAATACGTATCGCAATATATGCTTTCGAATCGCAATATATCGCAATATGAAAATTCTCTGCAATACCCACCCCTATGTTTTACTCACCAAAGGGTCGTAACATTACAACTGTTATTTCAACATTGTATTCCTAGTTTGTTATTCTTATGATATTTACAATATGGATACACACAATTAATAATCTTTGTATCTTCATGTCATACTGTGGTTTACGGTTCCGGTTGGACTCATTTCTATCATGATGTATTGGAAAGGACATTAGCACAATATTCCTCTTTGTTTCAGAATTTGGGGGATCAAGAAAACTCTCCACTGGTATTTTATAAAGAGGATAGCAAGTAATGGTAAGTTTAATTTAGTCCAATTGTTTATTCAGCTGAATCTCATTAACTAGAAATTGGATAATAAGATAACTCTTGTTTAAATTTAATGAAAACAGATATCAAGAATGGTGTCAAAAGAAAATATGGAAGAGTTGATACTCTGACCTGACAGGATGCCATCATTTCAACGTGGATCAAGTATTAGGGCTGGCTATCAATATAAATCCTTGGGGCTGATATTGTTCAATGAATATTGATCAGTTATCAAAAAATATCAGAGAAGTAACTGTGAGCAAAATTTAAATAAATATCTGCAAGAATCAAGTGGTGGTATTATATTTGAAGCTTTGATTACTAACCAAATATTGTTTTGAACATATGTGCAAATGGATTATTGCTGTCAATTGTACCGAAAGCTGTGGAACTGGGCTCTTGCTGTCGGGTGTACAGAGCAGTGCCAGTGGGCTCTTGCTGTCGGGTGTACAGAGCAGTGCCAGTGGGCTCTTGCTGTCGGGTGTACAGAGCAGTCCCAGTGGGCTCTTGCTGTCGGGTGTACAGAGCAGTGCCAGTGGGCTCTTGCTGTCGGGTGTACAGAGCAGTGCCAGTGGGCTCTTGCTGTCGGCTGTACAGAGCAGTGCCAGTGAGCTCTTGCTGTCACTGTTCTTGACAACATTCTTGGAATTTTTCAGATATATATGAGATTCCCCCGGATGGTATGTTTTTGTTATGAAACTGCCATATATTTTCACTACCATGTTGAAAGTTTTGAGTTTCATTTACATTTCAGATGTGTCTCTTGGAGAGCTGAGAGAAAAGAAGAAGCAAATTGTGAGAACATATTGAAATTATTCTGATTAACTTATTTATAGCTCATATTCCCTGAAACACACCCATAAGTTTGTTATGACTGCCAGTGATTATAACATTATCTCAATGGTCTAGCTCTGGAAAACAGGCATTTCTCTGTTGTCAAGCAGGAATGACAACATTCCTGTTTGACAATGGTACAAGAATCTATATCAAAACATCTCTCACACGAAATAATGAAGTTTTTATCCATAAATTTTGTCTATGTCGTACTTCCAGATTTCTAAAATACCACACAGAGAAAGCATTAGTGTGGACTAGTAAAAGCATAAATGCTGCTTAAAAAGAGCAATAATCCTGCCTTACATGTTAATGACATAATCAGAACTAGTGAGGCGAACGTGTTCCTGCTGTTGATTCGTGATGTACATGTGTTGTAGCTGGAAGATGTGATGGAGAAAGAGACGTACAAGAAGGCCAAGGAAATCCTCGAGAAGTTCGACCCAGCCAGGTTCAAGCAACTGGAGGTTAGAAACTGCTGAATGTTGAAAGCCACACCAAGTCAGATAAGAAGATGTCAGTAGACAGCCCTAGAAGCTGGACAGTTTGACCTAATTATGTTTCATGTTCACAAGCTACCCTTGCTCATGGGTTAGACCAAAGATGTAAATATCTAACACCCGTATCATGTTGGGCTTTCCACCCACGTCAAGCTGACATACCGTCATGTAACTGAAATACTGTCATCGGAGGTGGTTAGTGCAAGCTTCATTCATATACTTCAGATTACAGCGGCATCAGGAGAGCAGTTTGGGATTAAAGCCTGTTATAGGTTGATCCTTTCACACTGGTGATATGACAGGGATGACTTTCCAAAACTCTTTGGCTGTGTCTAAGAAACTGTTTAAGAAACTATATTATCAGGATTATATCATGCTTACATTCATGATAAATCCTGCTCTCTGTCTGTCTAGTCACAGTCTCCTAAATTGTCTCCGTGTCATACCAAAAGACATTAAAAAAATGGTACTTGTTGGTCCCTGCCTGGCGCTCGGCATTAATGGGCACAACAAGGACTGGTCGGCTCGGAGTCAGTATAATGTGTCTGAGTGTGGTATTCATGCTTCACTGTGGCATGGTATCTCAGTGAGCTAGCTCTATAAAACCGGGTTACATCTGGGCTAGTACAAGCAGCCACACATACACACACATGCACATCGTCACATGAGCGAAGTATTCTCAGGCACGACCTTAAACCCCATTTCACCTCACCCACCATCTCATATTTAACTGACCCATTTACAGTTAACATACTGAACTCACACTAACAAATTACACCAAAAATATGTGATATGTGATGACAAGATAAGTGACCTTTGATCTTGAAAAGTAATGTGCTCCATGACATTAAAAAAATGTAATTCATACCATGTAAAGGTTTAATGTTTCTGTTGAACAGAAGCCAGCTCAACCCACACCTCGTGTTGTCACACCCTCTCAGGGGTCAGGTAAACAGCTTTCACTTATTTATATATCTAGTTCCTGTTACCATCATTGTGATGTTCATCTTATGTTTGTAGTTGGAGATGATATGAACTATTTGTTAAGATCAGCATTTTTATGCTCATGACCCTTGACAATCAGATGGTGAAGGCTTGCTGAATTGGTTGCAACATGTCATCGTATTGCAATTGCTTAGATCAATGCTCATGCTGTTGATCACTGGATTGTCTGGTCCAGACTCGATTATGTACAGACTGCTGTCATATAGCTGGAATATTGCTGAGTGTTGGGTAGAACTAAACTCTTTGACTGACCAATCAGAATCAAGTAATTTACAAATTCATTGTAAAATTTGAGATAAGTTGACATCAACAAATCACAGCACTGACATGACCACTCATCTTGTAGCTTTGCGCCAGCGTGTGGCACCAAGAATGGCCACCCCAATGCGACCTGGTATCCGGACACCGATGACAACACCGCACCTGCCACGGTCGGCTGCAATGTCAGGGCAACGGATGAGGATGTCTGCCAATGGCCAGTTCATGCCTGGATACGGTAATCAAAGACTGCACAAACTCTGCTCAGAAGCTTTTGGAATTTCTGGGATAAAATAGAACAGGCCCTCAAAAACCTAATCAGTTGCAACAATAATGCACCCGTTACGTTGGGGATATTGTAATCTTGGGTACACAAAACTGTTTCTTATTATATGTCATATGTATATTTTGTATGGTGCCATATTGTGTTATCCTTCTCAATGATTGAGTTCTGTATTAAATCATTATATCATCTTCCCTCAATATGTTGTAGAGGTACGGGATCTCTCTAAATATCATGTAAACATTTACCACGTGACAACAAAACGCGATTGGATAGGCGGCGCCACATCCAACTTACCGAATAACTAGAATAGGCTCTACACACACACACAACACAATCAATACAGGTTCAAATTTGTACCATTTGTTGAATTTTATTAATCACAACAATACGACTCGGTCGAATTTGGCATATGACCCGTGTGAGTCCGCCTTTACAGGGGTTTGTGTGTTGCATTGCAGGGAGTCCACCTGGGCCCCCGCTGCCCAGACCAGTCCTGCCCAGAGAGAGGGGCAACTTTGACAAGGTTGTGGAGTATCTTGTTGGAGATGGACCACAGAACCGTTATGCTCTCATCTGTAGATATTGCCATTCTCACAATGGAATGGCCCTGAAAGAAGAGTTCGAATTCCTCAGTAAGTATCTGTTATTAGTGTTTTATCAGTGGAATTCAGTGCCTGTAAGGAATAGGTGAGTGAGCATCTTCAACATTGGTAGATGTGAATCAGTGAAAGGGTTCGAGTGTTCATCAAGTTGGGGATTAGTACCCTCATCAAGAATGGAGATAGCGCTATCATGACCAAAGGTATTTTGTCTGTTTAGGGGTGTTTATTCTTGGCATGGAGGTTTACAGTCTGCAGTAGTGGTGCTCCGATTAATTGAAATAATCGAAGATTGGTCGCAATGACTTAACGACCAAGCAATCGATCATGTATTCTCATAATCGAACATAAACAATTTTGGAACACTTGTTTGCATTAACAACATTTTTCACAAGGTTGGTTTTGTCGGCTACATTCCATAAGCACTACAAGCTCGTTTCCATTGAATATATCTTGAAGACTCCAGGAAATTTATGTTCCTAACATACTAGTCATCATTTAAAGATGTGACATTTGTACATGCATTTTGTGCAATTTGCAAAAAATAACCGAAAGAACTACATGTTTTTTCTATATTTTGTGTGCATTAACAAACATAACCAGGAGAGTTTGATAAATGACGCTAACCAATTATTTTCGATGATTGATCAGTTGTATTGAACCAATCATCAATTGTGAGATTTTAACCAATTCCCACCACTAGTCTGCGGTGAAGCTCTTAGTTCAGAAGCCATCTGCAAGAAATATGTGAATGAACATCTTTGACATTGTTACATTAGAATAAACAAAGGGATTAGTGCTTTCATCAAGAAGGGCCTTCACGAAAAAAGGTATTTTGCCTGATGAGTGTTCATTTTGGGAAATGTATGGTCACAGTCTGCTGTGAGTTACCTCCCTTGAAAGAAATGATGAAGCTCATGGTTCAGAAGTCAGATTCTCCTCAATATGGGTTCTGTTTGTCTGTGTTTACAATACCTGTGTGTTTACCGAATTGGTCAACATTACACCCTAGAGCCTGTTTGCCAAATCAATTAAGTTGTACAATTTTGGAACTCAGATACATAGATACAGTGATGACTTTGTGAAATGGGCCATTGGGTAACTTTAGCCTTCCTGTTTCATTCAGCTTACCCCTCGGATATAATTATACCCCTGCTTCGAAGTAACGGGGGTATATAGCTTTCATTCTGTCCGTCCGTCCGTCCCGAAACTTTGTCCAGAGCATATCTCTTAAAGTTTACATGCTAGGTTCACCAAACTTCACACACATGTTAATCATTACCCATCGATGTGCCTTTTGCTATTTTAAAGTTTTTCAGAATTTAGTTTTTTGGCTGTTTCCATGGAAACATGACTTAGGCTGTGACTATGAGGATGTCATCTTGTCCGGAGCAGCTCTTCCAAACTATACATGCTAGCTTCATCAAACTTGGTACACATATCAAGCATGACCCCTAGATGTGCCTTTTGGGGTTTAGATCCAGATATGAATTTTATTTTTTGCTGTTTCCATGGAAACATGACTTAGTGCCAAATGTGTTCGATTATTTTGTCCGGAGCATATCTCTTAAAGTTTACATGCTAGGTTCACCAAACTTCACACACATGTTAATCATTACCCATTGATGTGCCTTTTGCTATTTCAAAGGTTTTTCAGAATTTAGTTTTTTTGCTGTTTCCATGGAAACATAACTTAGAGCCAAATGTGTTTGATGGTTTTGTCCGGAGCATATCTCTTAAAGTTTACATGCTAGGTTCATGCTAGGTACATGCAAAATGTATTTGATGGTTACCTGACCACGGCATATCATCGAAACTATACATGCTAGGTTCACCAAACTTAATACACAAGTTAATCATGGTCCACAGATATGCCATGTGCTAAAAAAATAGCAATCTTCATCTACGTCCACTTCATTGTGTGCAACATGAGACAGTCAAGTTCAATTGTATGTCAGGTTTCCACGGAAAACACAAAAAAATCTAGTTTCCATAAATTATTACCGTAATCAGTACATGCTAAAACTATTATCTAACATTTATATAAAGTTTAGTAGAGTCAAAGAGAAAGTCTTGTGAGCTGCTGATCCTTGTCACATTATATATATCAATATCAGTCAGTTCCATGTCCCAAAGTGGGAAGCGGGGGTATGTGAGCTGTGCTCACTTCTACACTTGTTATGGCAGGAATGTTGTGAAAGCAGTGTCAGCTCATCTCAGTCATTTAATGGTGTGTTGGTAAGGGGAGGATAAGCTGTCAGCAGTGTCAGATGATAGTGATGCAGCAGTGTTTTGTGTCTCCTTTAAACAGGTTTCCGTTGTTGCTACTGCTATGCCATGAACCCAGCCCGAAAACAGCGGCCACATGCTCCCAAACTGGAGTTCCCTGCCCCTCCCTCCCCAGCCAAGCGAGCTGCAACACAAGGTAACGTGGTTTTCAATATATCAATATACAAGCAAACTCAAATATACATAAAGAACTTAAGCACCACCTGACGTATCTCACGATTGAATGAGACCCGATCTGAACCCTTTGGAGCATATCTGGGACATGATTGCTCATCATGTGCAACAAAGTGATCCTCCTGTACAGAACCTGGCCCAGTTGGAAGCTGCTTTACGGCAAATGGTGTAGACTGGCCCTTCAGAGGATCAGGAGGCTGACGGGGGGTATGAGGAGGACAGTGTTGGCTGTCACACAGTCACATGGAGGTTACACATGGTATTGACCTTGAATTGTGTAAGACACGCAAAATTGACAGTTTGAATGTTCACATTCACCAATAAATTCAACATTAATCATTTCAGGGCCATACTTGTACAGATCTGGTTTTGTATGAAAATCTGGGGTTTTTTAAAATGAGCAATTTTTAACTTAAAATCAAAATGGATTCCAATCATTTTATCGTTTTATGGAGTCAAAGGATCATACGGGTCAGAAAAACACATGTTTATCCATTGTGGTCACTTTGAGAAGATTTCTTTACTTGTTGAAAACCTTTCACTGCAAAATTACAGGGGTGCTTAATTAAGTTCTTTGTGTAATGGCAGGTCAAATATGCATATTTTAAACACCTGTATTTGTTGAATCTGAATTTGATGAAAACTCTTGTGGGTATAGATACAGTATATAACTGTATAGAATAAGACAACTGAAAAATGTGTCGTAAACATAAGATGAGTCTAAGTTTTATCATAAAAGATTATTTTACTATATCCATAAAAATCTATCTTGTGTAAATTTAGTGTTTATCACAGTCATGCTATAATTGCATAAAATTATTTTATAAGACCTAATGACACAACAAATAAAATTGACCCCAAACCAGATGTACACATGTTTGTCTCTAAATTTATGCATAAAAGGAAATTCACTCACCTTTTGTCAAAGTCATATGGGTTTAGCTTAAGTATCCACAGTGTCCATGAATATTATTTCCTCATCAAGGAGTGGGGCGGTGGGGTAGCCTAGTGGTTAAAGCGTTTGCTTGTCACGCCGAAAGACCAGGGTTCGATTCTCCACATTGATACAATGTGTGAAGCCCATTTCTGGTGTCCCCAGCATGATATTGCTGGAATATTGCTAAAAGCGGCGTAAAACTAAACTCACTCACTCATCAAGAAGCACTATTGATGGAGATCATTTGCTGTTCAATAATATGATGTTTCAAATTATTTGTTTTAATAGGTGAACAGAAAGTTGCTGAGGCTAATGAGGAGGAGGAGGAGGAGGAGGATAGCGAATATGATGAAGAAGATGATAGTGAGGAATCAGGAAGCAGTGGTGATAAAAATAAGGAAAGTAGCCAGCTAAAAACTGAAAATCTAGAAATAAAGAAACCAACAGTTGGCACTGCCTCAGCAAGCACTTCTTCAGCAAGCACTTGCAAGCACTGCCTCAGCAAGCACTGCCTCAGCAAGCGCTGCCTCTTCCAAACAAGCTGCAGAAATCTTGGAGAAAAACTTGAAATTTGCAGATGAAGACAACGCTGAAGGAAAACCAAGGGAGATAACTCAATCTAAAGAAAAACAAGTTGATGAAGACCACAAACAAGAAGTGACAGTGAAAGCAGAGACCAGGACAGAATGACCCAAACTTCCAAGTAGAAACAATAGCGTTGATCTTCAAACCAAATGATGTTATTTTGTATATATTAAGTTGCTTGTTTTGAATTCAGGTGTGTTTGGGATTTGAAGACATGTTGAATGAGTTGTGCCATGAGATGTATTAATATTTTTACCTCATCCTAGATGGTGGTGATTGTACAGTGATGCTCTATTTAAGTATTTATTGAACACAGTGCTTATGTTTTGCCACTTTTACCTCATCCTTCGCGGTAGAGTTTTTTTGTTGATACTGTTGTGCTGTTGTCTCTTTTCTTGCTCATGAAAATTTCGTGACTTTGCAGGATTCAACAAATACATTGGTCAAACACCTGTAAACAATAGTCAGGACAAGTAATACTACTCAAAACAAATTAAGAACCATCCTATTCTTTCATATTACTACAGTTAATCTGTCTTTGAGGGCGTTGGGTTAGCTTAGTGGTTGAAGCGTTGGCTTGGTACACCGAAGACCCAGGTTTGATTCCCCACATGGGTACAATGTGTGAAGCCCATTTCTGGTGTCCCCCGCCGTGATATTGCTGGAATGTTGCGGGAACTCACTCACTGCACAACAGATTTGCCATAGTAATATGAAACAATTGAATGACCCTGAATTTCATTGCATGACATATTCACTATAGTAATATGTAGGAGTCAGGTGGTCTTTCAAGTTTAAGTATTATTATTGTGAGTTTGACTAAAAAGCAAAAATTTGCGACATCAGTTTCCATGGCTGCTTACTTAAAACAGAATGAAATGCCAGATTTTGGCAGAAACTTTGTAAATACGGGATAAGGGAATGAGAAATTGTTTAGAACTGTTTGTCCAGTATTTTTTCTTACAGCCTTGTCCTTTTTGCTAGCTCAGCATGAACTTTAGTTGAACGGTGCTAATTAAGTTTTCCCTGTCTCCTAGGCACACAATGTAAATGATGGATGAAGATTAGTTCCCTGTGTCAAAGTATGAATACAAACTGTAGCACTGTAGGGATGATCAGTATGGCCTTAATAGGAAAAAAGTTTAAAATATATTTTTTAATTAATTATGGAATATGGTTGGATTACAAAACCAGTTAAGAATTTTCATTTTCAGAATTGCAATCTTACAATTGAGTTAATATGAATTATGATGAGAAATGATGTATCCTTTTCCCATTTGATGAGGATGTTCTTTGAACGTGGATCGAGGAAAACCAACATTGCTGTAATAGTGTTAGAGGATGTCACTGAGGATAGATTATTTACAGATTAGCTTACCAGTAACATGGAATTTCAGATTATCTGTCTTGTGTGGATTTGATTTTGAAAGTTACAAACCTTACCCGTCATCTAAGAAAATGTAGAAAAGTGAGGACTTTTCATCCCAGTGTTTGACATCAGTTTTCTTTATAAAGGACGTCACAAGATCATCATGATGTCGTGAGCAAAGGATGATGTCACCTTCAGTTATTGGCAGCAGTGTGTTCTTATGGCGTCTTGTTAGGCCTCCTCACACTTTGAAAACTATGGAACAATTATTGCAGTAATACTAAGAATTGCTGAAAACAATATTGCCTATGTCTGTGTCCCGTGCATACTGTTAAACTACATGGAACTTGGTTGAAGTAAAGACACATCCGGCTTAAGACAGAAGTCATTTACTCACCCTACACTAACATTAATATTCTTTATGGTTTACGCTATGTCTCTTTTACTAACCTGTTGATTTAGTATGTTTTTAATGATGACATCAAAGATGTTTTGAAATTTATTAGCATCCTGGATCATGCAGGGTATTATGTCTCCATGGTGATGGTTTTATACCTTGGACTTCACTACCATAGCTTCATTTTGGAAATAAGGTCATCTTCTTCATCTCATCCTAGAACTTCCCATAGAATTCCTCAAACCTAGGGACCAGTCATTTACTACAGATGGGGATGAGTCAGAGATTTTGTCTGCTATAAATAACAACCCTCCACTAATGCTCGTCATATTTTGAGATGACCCACCCGATGGTCTTGTACATTTAAAACCTTCCTAAATTCTCTGTATTATTATCCCCCGCCACAAAGTCGAAGGGTGATATGAGTTTGAGCTCCGTCTGTTTGTCCGTCCATCCATTCATCCGAGATGATGGGGACAGATTTTCTCAAAAACCATTATAGATGGGGAAACCAAATTTGGTATTTGTTTTCAGGACATGAACATGCCTTATTGGAATTCGAAAACAGAAACTGTGTTACAATTCGTTACAGAGTTAGGGCCCTTGTCACGCGTTTCTTGACCAAATAGGAACACAATACTGTGGCGGGGAAATTGATGACCATGTCTTCTTGTTTTTTATGTCCCTCCCTTCGAAACTCACGCTTTTTTGTAACTGTCCCTTCAATTTCTCGACATCCCAACTGGCGATTAATTTATAAATGACCAGTTCCCTAGAACTGGAATTTGACTTCTTTCAGGATCATGTCAGTGGAGTTACAATGAAGCAGGGTATTGCCCCCATCATTGGAGATGTAACACCCAGGATGATCAGGGGGAAGTGATAGGGACCATGTGATACTAACATGAAAATCCAGAAGTTAAAATGGTACCAGAAACAAAAACATGATTCCAAAGACTGATCAGTGTGCCCTTCCATTCCTCGGTGTTTAACGAGGTTTTAATGTGTTACTACAGTGTCCCATGTGTTCATTACACTGTTAATACTCATCAAGCATTATTTCCCCACTTGTTCAAATCCTATAGTAACATCTGCAGTTTTCGTGATTCATGGTTCTCCTATTGTATCTCTGCTTTAAGAACGGTGAGGCAGTCTAGTGGTTAATGTATTCCTTGTCATGCTAAAAGCCTTGGTTTGATTATCATGTGAAGAATTGGGCTAAGCCAGACCCCCAAAATGGTGAAAATGTGATGCAGTTCTGGCGACCGAATGGGATGTGATTTTTCACAATCAGGAATGATTTAGCTTTATTTTAAAGCCGGTTGTCAACAGCTACCGTGCGTGACTACCATGCAGGGTCCCTTTTAAGGTCATTTCAGTTATTTTAACCGATAACTGGATGGTTTAATTCAATAACTCTGGTTTGGATTGACCGATTTTCATCGAAATGGTAGTTTTGGCATGCTCAGATCATGATTTAATATTGTGGACAATAATGTTATATATATGCTCATCTCAAAAGTATTATGTAAGGTCAAAGGTCGATTTTAATAGAAAGTGCATTTGCTGAGAAAAGTATGAGTTAAACTTTACATCCTTTATTTTGGCCTACATCTGTTACCCCTTTAAAAAGTCATCTAGACTAAATATGTAAAACCCAATTCTGGTGTTCCTTGCCATGATATTCTCGGAAGATTGCTAAAAGCAGTGAAGAAACTGTGCTCACTCACTCACTCCACCCACCCACTCACTCACTCACTCCACCCATCCACCCACTCACTCACTCACTCCACCCATCCACTCACTCACTCACTCACTCACTCACTCATCACTGCTATATATACCGGTGTACACTGTCAGTATGTGTGGTGAAAACTGCCTTGTCCAAGTGAGATCTATTTTAATGTGTGCATTAGAGCTAGATTTGCTATCCTTGAAGTCTTCTTGTTTTCATAGTATCATATTTCAGTCCCACATGTTGCAGCTAGTCAAACATACAAATCAAACCTATGTCAGGTAATCAAATAATGTTCTGTAGATGAGTATTAAAATCAAACAATTACTCGGGTTAATATTTCAGGTATATTTGTACAATTGATATGACCTCGTCTAAGGATTGGAATTCTGAATGTAATTTAGTTGTTAGGAATGCTGTTTCGATTCATGATTTCACTAATACATGTAACTGTGAAATTGTCATTATTTATTCTTTAGGCCAGACCAATTTTATGTCTTGTTTTATGGATCTGCCAGTCATATTTTTTCAAGAATGAGAAAAAAAATGAAAATCATTTTCCCCGCTCAAAATATAAAATCCTAATGTTCTTATTGGCCAGAAATGTAAACTTACATGAAAAATGTTTTTTGATTGTTTTTTAGCCCCATAACACTTCATAAATTGCCAAAAGTAAAATGCTTTTAATATTTAGAAGGAATATTACTTTAACTGGTGAATTTATTTATTTATTTTTTTCCCCTGCCTTTAGGTTTTCTGAGGACAAAAATCCGTAAAACAAGAAATATAATTGGTCTGGCCTTAGCATGATTGACTTTAATGTTCATGATCATCATCAAGATTATGGTTCTGAATGACCAGCAATATATAATAGTATGTGCAATAATCATCAATATACACACATACAGTATACATGATATACACAGCACTGCAGTCAATAGTCCATGCATTCCTTCTTATCCAAAGAAAGTTCAATGGTAATATATTTATTTTGCTTGAGGCATTCGTTTGTCACAGGCAACTACGGTGACACAACAAGGTTGCATGTGTTCATGGCGATGGAGGAGCGTTGTGCATACAAACCTGTGAAATATTGGGGAAAAACAGAAAATGTAAGAAAAATTCTACTTGGTGCTCTCTTGTATGTTATTTGTTTGAGGGGAAGGGAAGGATTTGTAGAAGGGTTTTCATTTTGTACAAGTCAGGGGTCCATTATTGACTCCATAATGTATGCGACTAGTCCATAATGTATGCGACTAAGTCATTTCAAACTTAGTGTGTCACATGTCATCGTATCCCAGTTGCCCAGATCGATGTTCATTTTGTCAACCACTGGATTGTCTGGTCCAGTCTCGATTATTTACAGATTATTTACATATAGCTGAAAAATTGCTTAGTGCGGCATTATACAACAAACAAACAAACTTGATGTATGTCTTACGTTATTACCTTTTGAGAGGAAACAGCTAGTCCATACATATGTGGCTAGTCGTAGACCAGTAAACCACTAGCCATCTGTAATGTGTTAATCGTTTCATTTCTCAATACATTCATTATGTACATTTATGGTTAAAGGCTATTGGTGGCTAAATTAAAATATATGAGAAGTATATACATCACATACTGTACCACCGATTCCTGCCATTTCAGTGTGTGGCATTGTACTTTGTATTGTGTCATATTTAAGTGTGTATTATTAATGTTTTAATGTGACACTTGTTGATGTTGTTTTGTATTGCAATGCATATTGTGCTTGGTGTTGATTGTTTTCATCTACAGCATTTAAGAATCTTTCTATTGGTGCCCATTATTCTATCCTCAGATTGCTTTTGTCTTATTTGGAAAAACACAGGGTTACAAAATACTCCTTTTTGTTGAATATGTTTATGGATAAAAAAGTTATTTTATTTTTAAGTGCGAAGTATAATAAGAGTATGGTATAACAGCACTACTTTGTTTAATTGCCGATTAGAAACTGAAAAAATATATGTGCAGCATATTCAGTTGCAAAACCAAAGATTCTAGCACAATATTCAGACAACCTTTTCCACCTGTAAGATGGTGGTCTGGATCAGATAATCCAGTGATCCTGAGCATGATCCACTCTGGCACTGGTTGATGACCCACAATCAACCAAGTCGCGAAGGCAGACCATCTCATCCTTTGGGTCTTCTCTGTTGGTCTAGGGCATTGGGGTAGTTTAGTGGTTAAAGCGTTCACTCGTCTTGCCGAAGACCTGAGTTTGATTCCCCACATGGGCACAATGTGTGAAGCCCAGTTCTGGCGTCTGATATTGCTGGAATATTGCTGAAAGCGCAATAAAACCAAACTTAACACGCATTTACAGGTTATTCTGGAGTGAAGTTATCTTGTCAAGTTGTGCCAAAGGACTCTCCACCAAATAGAATGAATATGTATGATGGTTCCTTGTGTAGGTAGAGGTGTTGGTCATTAAGCTTGGAATTAATTCAAGTTTATTGATGAAAGTGAACTATTCCAATATTATGATCACAATAATATGGTGCTAAGGTAATGCCTTCATTGGCCAACACATCCCACAAGCCACTGCAGTACTGGTAGAAATGTTTTACATTTAGGGATGTATTCTTCCACATATTTCCTGAAAATCGTATAGCTATATGCAGCAGTGTTACTGGAGGTCTTTTAACTATAAAAACGACCATATTATTTCAGGCAAGAGCCAATGAGTTAAATGGTTTTTACATGAATTTCATCTGTGGAATATTAAGAAGAAGAAATATGTTGAAAAATATGTTAGTTATATAAATGTTATTATTATTTTGTTTATGACTGTGGCAAGATATGAATACTCAGCTTATTTTTCTTGTATGTAGCGATCAGCACTATTACAAAAATATCATGCAGGCTTGTAGATAATCTCAGACAAACAAACCAGTGGTTGATATTGGGAGCACCACTCTGTAAGTATAAGATGCTATTGAAGGGAGTGCACTCGTTTAACTTCAGATACATGTGGTCTCAAAGAATTAGAGTTAATAGTTTCACTTTGGTGAAATATCTGCGATACATAAACGTATTATTTACCCTGTATCATTTGTAGATTTGTGAGACCAGTTTCTGTCACTATATTCATAGATCATCTTGCCATAAATGGTTTTTGATTTAGCTGAAAATATAAGAATGGATTTGTCAAATTTCAAACATTCACTTCTCACTTTTGCAAAATGTAAAGTAAACACATCTCTGTAAAACAGGTTAATGGGGCTACTGGTTTGGGGGTTTTTTTAATAAGAAAATAATCTTTCAAGAAAATCCCAGAAATGTACAAAGATTAATCATTAAAATAGCACAATAATTGCTTTTTAAATGGGTGTTCAAGTTCAGTAGTAGCAGCACAGTTGCTATGGTTACAAGCAGGCAGTTCAGTCTGTTGTTCAAAGATGTTAAGTTTTCAGAGATGTGAAATTTGTAGAGACACTAACCTGACTCATTTGCATATCAATGTTGAAGAAATCCTACCCTGGATGTATGTAAATATGTTGTACATATCTGTATGGGTGTTTGAGGATGAGACCAAGATTCTGTCAGGAGAATGTGAAGCTGTGAATGGTTTATTTATCAGCTGAGATACATCAGATGAGTAACAGCTGATCATTAATTGAGAAATACTGTAAAAGTCTAGTTTGCACGTGTTCAATTTGATTCTCTCTATATTAGAGTGAGAGGTCATTGTATGAAATACAAAAATAATACAAGTATATACTGCAACGATGCCATGGCGAAATGTCTGTTTTATCTTTGGATGTGTAACAGTTAAATAATTAAAGACACTCCAGTTTTGTCTTCTGTACATAAATGTGGTGCTTTGAACATGGCCTTAACTTTTCTCAGTGTCATGCACTGTTTAAACAAATTGCATTTGTTTTTTTTCAGTTTTATTAGATTATGTGAAATCTACATGTGAAAGCATGAGGATTGTACACAGAATAAGCATGAAATTTTCAATATGGCTGACATGGCTTCCATCTTGTGAATGTGTAGTTGGAACAGTACATTCCTTTATACAGCCCTGTTTGTAATGATTTGTTATAATTGGTCTTAACCAACAACTTAAACCTGTTTCAATTTCATGTTTCTATACCTGCCATATTAATGTCAAGTTATGTTCCATTAAATTAATGTAAACATCCTATTGAGGAACAGGTTTGTGTAACTTAAGTGGGCAGTGAAAAATCAAAGTGCAGAAAGAAGTGAAACGGGTAACTATTTATAGTCTGTTTGCAGTGAAAACGTACCGATGAATTTCACTTTAAACAAAAAAGTAAATCAAATAATGTGAAATTAAGATTGCGAATCCTCATAACTTTACCTTGCCAATTGAACATTAAAATCTCAGAAGTTTATTCAACTTAGGATAAAAGTTGTTTAACAAACGATCATAGTTTCAAATCGCTATTATTGGTATGTATTACAAGGGGGTATGCACATTAAATGAAACCCCGAGAACAAGAAGGGTTGGTTTCTACGGTAGTCTAAGTTAACGCTCATCACGGACCGCACTTGCATTTGTTTCACTATTCCAACTACTGCGCGTACCCCCTTGTAATACAAACAAATAATAGCGATTTGAAACTATGATCATTTGTTTAACAACTTTTATCCTAAGTTGAATAAAATTCTGAGATTTAAAAGTTGAATTGGCAAGGTAAAATCATGAGGATTCGCAATCTTAATTTCACTTTATGTGATTACTTTTTTGTGTAAAGTGAAATTCATTGGTACATTTTCACTGCAAACAGACTATACATCAAATGAAGAATGTTGATAAGAATGGTTTGTTTATCATGTTGAGCCCATGTATGCTAAGTATAGACTCCTATATACACTATAGTAAGCAGTACTAGCCCGGTAATTTATCATTAAGATGAGTCATGATCAGTATAATTTCCAAACCTTTGGTGTTCAGTGTATTAAATATTTTCGATATCTTCCCATTGTCATGTATTGATATCACCTTATGAAGAATTTCCTGTGTATTCCCAATCTCACATATTGACATCCTTTATGGTAAAGTAATTTCCATTTTGATATCAACTTGTAATAAATTGATTTTCAATATTGATATCCTCTTATGGTAAAGTAACATCCTTTATTGATGTCCCCTTGTGATAAAGTAACATCCTATATTGATGTCATCTTATGGTAAAGTAAGAATCCATATTGATATCACCCCCGTGTAAAATAATTTCCTATGTTGATGTCTCCTTATGGTAAAGTAATATCCCATATTGATATCACCTTATGATAAAGTAATATCTTATATTGATGTCATCTTATGATAAAGTATTTTCCCATATTGATGTCACCTTATGGTAAAGTAATAACCCATATTGATATCACCCCTGTTTAAGGTAATTTCCTGTGTTGATGACACCTTATGGTAAAGTAATATCCCATATTGATATCACCTTATGGTAAAGTAATAACCCATATTGATATTACCTTATGATAAAGTAATATCTTATATTGATGTCCCCTTATGGTACATTATTTTCCCATATTGATATCACCTTATGGTAAAGTATTTTCTCATGCTGATATCACCCACAAGTAAAATATTTGCAATATTGATATCACCTCATGGTAAAGTGATTCACACACTAAAAGGTATTGACAACTCTTTCCCCCCTATTCTGACATACTGATACCAACTTAAGACAATATGTCATGTGTCCTACCTACCCTAGTCTCACATACTGATGTCAACTTGAGTTCAGTATTTCACTTTACAGATGCTCTTGTGTATGTTTTGTGTAATCATATTCTCACATGTACACCCCAAATATCTGAGATTAAAGTTATAGAAAATTTACTCACTCCAAGTCATTTATCATTAGGTGCATTTATATTATTTTTTTCAGAAAAACGAAGACAGGATTAGAAGAAGAATTTTTTCAGTATAAAGGCCACAGGCTCAAGAACAATATGAATGTATAACATATATGCATACAAGGTGTTCAGAACATATGTATAACATATATGCACAGTATATGCGTTGAAGATATACTGAGTGAAACAAATAGAGGGATCACAGGAAAATTCAAATGTTCCTATATTATTTTCCAGTTTTCATCGCCACAGCTCTGTTCAAAGCTGGTGATGAAAGCTGGAAACTATTAAAGAAAAGCTTGAATTTTCCTGTGATCCTTTATTTGTTTCTCTCAGTATATGTACAAATACATTTACAGTAATGAGGAATGTAACATGAAAGTTATTTTGATAAAGTTTGCATAAAGAGCTATAAGAGTTATTAGACAATTGTTATTTACATATATCATATATTTTTGTCGCAACCTATTAGGGGTTAATACCACCTACCTGGTGTAGTGATTCGAGCATCCGCCCGTCGAGCGTAAGATCGCTGGTTCGATCCCCGGCCGCGTCATGCCGAAAGACATTAAAATATGGTACTTGTTAGTCCCTTCCTGGCGCTCTGCAATAATGAGTACAACAAGGACTGGTCGGTTCAGTCAGTATAATGTGTCTGAGTAGGGTATTCATGCTTAACTGCAGCATGGTATCTCAGTGAGCTTGTGATATAAAACCAGCTTAAGTCTGGGATAGTACAAGCAGACACACATGTACACACGCATGCGCGTCGTCACATGAGCGAAACATTCACACAACGTTAAACCCCATTTCACCACACCTCACCTTGGTGATATTACTGAAAAATAGTTCAGATCACAGTGGGCTCAATCAGTAAATATATGATGAGGGTAATGACATTTTGTACGGTCCAAAAAATGATGCTGGCATACAGACTGTTCACTGATTTTAAGCAATAAATTCTCCAGTGGGCTTGCATAGCAATGGGTACATAGAAACCATGTATGTATACATGCGGGACGAATAAACTCCTGAAGATCCGAGTTAGAATTGATCTTCTGTAACCCATGCTTGTCATAAGACGCGACTAACGGGATCGGTGGTCAGGCTTGCTGACTTGGTTGACACATGTCATTGTATCCCAATTGCGTAGATCGATGCTCATGTTGTTGATCACTGGGTTGTCCGTCCCAGACTCAATTATTTACAGACCGCCGCAATATAGCTGAAATATTGCTGAGTTAGGCGTGAAACTAAACTCACTCACTCACTCACTCATCCGGGACGAATAACAGGTGGTTGTCAAATATGTACAACCCACATCGAAAGGGGCAAACACTGGGAAGGGAGATAACTCATGATGGACTAACGATCATCACGTTGCACGACCATTTACTAAAAGGGAGATAATTATGTTAGCCTTTCAGTCGCATGCGAACGAAATTCTTCCACTTATCATTTACATGTTATACAAATACCCGGACTGGTAGCACAACAAAGCTCGCTTTTAATTAGCATACTAGTATGGAAATGCAATAAATTAGTTGACAATCATGAGAGAGAGACAGAAACAGACAGAGCCACAAGTCGGATATCTCTACCATCAACTGTGGTCTATTGTACTTCATACCGTAATATATAGTCGCGGTACATTATCGTTTTGGTAGATAAAATATTTCATAGTCACTGATGTGATGCATGAGATAGGGGTTTGTTTGACATGTAACACTATACAAATATGTGGTAAAACAGATAGTGTGACGTCACACAGATGCGATTCAATACGTGAGAAGCATTATTATCAACTCATGACATCCAGTCGACAGAGGGTTCATGTTTAACATATATATAGTTGAAGTTATTCTATTTGATAAAAATAGAAACATATTATATGCACAAAATATATTATACCTCTTCGTATGCGTTTTTTTTGTGTGTGTTTTTGTTGGGGTTTTTTGTGTGTGTTTTTGTCCAGGGAACTACTGGATGTGCATGAAACCGTTCCGAAATGTTTTCACGGTGTTTTCGAACACTTGTTCTCGAACATTTATCACCAAAACGCACCTGTAACAGCTGAGGAGAAATTGCAACATCCCAGAAAATCCTTCCTGGCAGTTTGCACTCTCCAGCTACGTATAACCTACCACAATAAACTTGTATACAACAGGTGCGTGAAAATATCAGCCCTATCACATGGACCCTCGTTTTACAACCCACTCGTCAACACATACACATGTGAGGCTGCCACTACAAGATACGCTTGAACATGCGTGCACGTGCAGTTTCCCTCACTTGAAAGCATGCTCCGTGAAGTGCTCGGGATTGGATATGACAAGGGTTATGTTCTATGGGAATAACAAAGCCTGATTGAAAAGATGGGTTATGTGGACATGATTTGCGTTTGTTGGGGTACATTAGGCGGTGAGCAGGACTGCATTGTCGATGTTTGCTGGGATGGAGATGGAGATTGATGTCTACCATGTTCAGGGTGTGCCAACCTGGCCATCTATACATCCATGCATCCAATAAGCCCAGCCCGGTAAGACTTCCGCCCGTATCCCCCCTAAATTTTAACGATGAGAAAAAGTTTCTTTGAGTGGCATTTTTAGAAGTTGGATATGTCCTTCAGTATGTTCAGATATAATTATAGAACCATGTTACAACTCATCCTTATCAGATGAGGAATTATATACTCAGGTGATATTATCTGGCTAGAAGGAAATTTAAGGGGGGATACGGGCGGAAGTCTTTCCCACAGCCCTGTATTTTTACCAATTAATTTTGTCTGAAATGAAATTCTAAACTCTTTCCAAAAAAATATCTTTATAATTTGATAGAGCAAGCATTTAACATTTCAAAACGAAAACATCATTGACATTACCGTGTACTTTAATTAGGATAATTGCCTATATTTAAAACAGGTGTTTTTCTGTCCTATAAGATTTAGGAAAAGTTACAGTCACACTAAAAATAAATGAAAAATTCAAATGCAGTAAAAGTTCCTTTACAATCAAAACAAACCGATTTTAGCTGTAATTATCGGCATCCGGCAAGGAGAAGTGTTTATTCAATACAATAACCTCAAAATCATAAAAGATTTATTCCAAAATCTTATTAAAGTGGCCTTTTTCATTTCTTGTCAATTAGCAATTGTTGGAAAAAGGTCTGAATCTTTGACATTCGGGTTATTCCTGATTATGCATAATTAAAGCTTACTTGATGTGTAAATGTCATCTTGGTATATAACAGAATTGTTATTTTTAGTCAAAACTTAATTTATTTGTGTAATTTGAGCAGGAGAGGAACAGTTATTTTGGGTAAGACTTCAGTCCCATCACATTTTCATCAACATATTCTTTCATAAAGAATAGAAAAGGTAATGGTATTTGTAAAACTGTCAATGGATAAAGCTTCTTTAACAATAGGTTGACTAAATTGATGGCTGTACCCTACCTTTTCTGTAGCATCACATCTTATTTTCAAAATAGGGTGGTGCTTAATTAATGCACGGGTGTATATTCTCGAAACGTTCGTAGCCCTACGAATTTCTTAAGCCCATTCTTAACACATTGGCTTCGATCGAAGTTAAGAATTCTTTAGGCTACGAACGTTTTCGAGAATAAGAGCCCAGATCTTGATTTGTTATGCAGGGACGGGAGAGAGAATAAATGCTGTGTACACTTTAGTCAATAACCGTTACATCTGTAAATCTGTAGTGAGTGAGTGAGTTTAGTGTTACGCCCGGTTTAGCAATATTTGAGCAACATCACTGCGGACGACACCAGAAATGGGTATCATACATTGTACCCATGTGTAATTATGTCAGTTCATATGGCGCTAAACTCCACTGGGGCGTGCACATAGCGCATACAAAGAGTCAAGGAAAAGTAAAAACTTGGTAGCAGTACAAGGTCACTTTAAAAGTACAAATGGAACAGATGAGTCTTTAAGAGACACTTAAATTGTTCCAACGACTGGGCGTCTTTGAGAGAGCCTGGCAGTGAGTTCCATTTAGTGGCAGCTGCAACACTAAAGGACTTGTAACCAAAGGACTTTTTCTTTCATGGTGGCACTAGGAGTCTCTGTTGATTCTCAGACCTGAGAGAACGTGGTGAAATGTATGGGGCCAGATTGTGAACTCACTGATATGCCAGGGTGAGGATTTTAAAGTCCACTCTCGCCGCTACTGGGAGCCAATGTAACGCCTTAAGCACCAGTGTTGTTTGGATTCTTGAGGGAGATCGATCTGGTGACTATCCTCGCCGCTTGATTTTGCACTTTTGAAGCTTACCGAGGACTGTTGCCGGTATGTTTGCAAGCAGACTATTGCAGTAGTCTATGCGTGTCAGAATCAGGCATCAGCGAGCGTTGCAGCTGAATCCTCAGCAATGAGATGACGGATTTTCCCCAAGTTTATCAGCTGAAATTAACAACTTTTACATATGTTGTTCACTTGCTGCTCATTGTGGAGAATCGAACCCGTGGCGAACCCTGCAGCGTGACGAGCGAACGCTTTAACCACTGGGTGTGCCCTACCCCACCGCCAGTAAGTATTGACGGGTTACAATCACATACAACCGGTAAGGGGACAAATCGTAATTCATAGATCTGTCCTAACTTCGACAAGAGTGAGTGAGTATCGCTTTACGCCGCTTGTAGCAATACTCCAGCAATATCACTGCGGGGGACACCAGATGTGGGGAATCGAACCCGGGTCCTCGGTGTGACGAGCAAACGCTTTAACCACTAGGCTACCCTACCACAGCAGATCGACAAGAAGACCCTAGTGGACTCTTGGTAAGGCCAACCGTATCAATTTGTGTATTTCTTTGCTCCAACCCAACC